GCTTAATTTATATTACTGTATAAAAATTCGGTCTAGGTTTTACAATTTTTCTATGCTTAGTCGTAAACTCATAAAAATTCAGAATTTACATGTTTGTATGTATTGTCTTAATGGGGCTACCAGGAATATGTGTCTCATTATTTGGGACAAATTTTTTCAATACTTCTGATTAACCCTTGTTTACGATTCACCTAGGCGGTTTACTCTTTCTTCACTATTTCAATGCATGAAAGTCTGAATGAACGCATTTTTGTGCCGTATTGTATATACAAACTGCAATTAATCCTTTGTAATTGCATTTATGACGCAGTATAATCGAAAACGTAGATTTCAGATGCCTAAGTGTAGAATTTGTGAAATGGTATTGAGAAAGCTTTCAAAGTTAAGGGTGTAGCTTTATTTGTTCAGAACAGAAACTTGTGTATATAGTATTGTTTTAGTGTGAATTGACTTTTTTGTTTTTCATAACTATTGTTTACTAATATTAGAATGACAAGCATAACGTAATATATTTTACTGGGTAAGCTTAGTTCACCGTTTTCTTTTTAGACTCTAAAATGTCTTCGTGATGGCTCACTTATAAGAAGTACAGCCAGTACCAATATGAATGCTCAATCATCTCGTTCTCACGCCATATTTACATTGCACATTAGACAACAAAGGTTGCTAAAATATGAAGAGGTGCGTTCAAACGTTTATTTGATTAATGCTGATGTATAATATAACTCATTTACCAAGCGTGGGTTCATGTAATTATCTTTTAACCAGTGTTAGTGATAATACCCAGATGCTAAAACTGAAGTAAGTGAAATGAAGTTCAAACCTGGCACTTACTGGTTGATAACCGAGTAATTCTACCTTCAAATCGGTTGATAAAATACGTATTTAGATAGACAGTTACAAATAAACGGTGGTACTGAAGTACTCTTATTTTACGACAAGTCGGTTTTTAATTTTATGTGGGCCTTAGTAGATTCCATACTAGTTCACGGTTATGTAAAAAATAGTTGTAATGATAATAACACGATCTTCACAAGGTTATTGAACATTGTACTCGATACGTTTGCTAATGTTTTTGATAACTGACGGCTATCACTATTATTTATTGTCAAGGTATATCTGTAATGACAGACTAATCAGTATTTTCACTGCTCATCATGTCTGACTTCACACCTTTCATACTATCTTTGTATGGATGTGAAGTGGAACAACTTGAGTCGATCCGTATGTGTACTAGGTCTTGGGTAGTCAATGGATAAACTAACTACCTTCCTGATGAGTTATTTAGAACCATTGAGCTGTATTATTTATCTTTCGGAGTGTCCCTACCACACTGCAGTAACTTAAAAATGTGCCGGAAATAAGGCGTTTTTGGCTCAGGAGTGATCACTAAACACAACATTCTTTTATTTACTAGTTGTAGATCATTTACTTTTATTTAGATATTTATAAGCATATCTATAATCCGTTAATTAACTACGCGTGTAAAACAGCAGTGAATTAGACGTGCTCATATTAAACGTATTTAGTTTTAATTCTCAACAAAGAACCTCACATAAAAGAACACGAGTTGTCATTGTTTAACAACACAAAGAGAATATTAGCGTAAATGGAAGAGAAAACTGAAGTAACTAAGAATGATGTGTGTAGAAAATCAAAACTAACTGAAGGATAATAGCATCTTCAAAACTTAGAACGAATCAAATATTCACCATTACAATTCCCATATCACCTAGAAACTTCAATCATTAATTTTTCATCTCGAGTACCTTACCTCAAAAATTCGGTAGCTCCATAGGTTGACCCAATCTGTTTTAGTAATTTTATTTAAGTCTGATCTTAATCTGGAGTTGAACTTTTGTTGACGCTTTCTGAGTGCCTTTGTCACAAGATCTACAAGAAAATTCGCGATTGCGATTTGTTTTGACACAGTTGTTATCTATTATTTCACCTTATGCTCTAATGTAAAACCTTATTTCTTTTTAGCATCCCCGTGGTTTTGAAATATATCTCATAAATTTTACTCGTCAATCTGATTCTTCAATAATTAGCTGTTTTTTTTCAACCAACTAGGATTCTAGCGGACAAAAAAAAGATGTTCAGTCAGACGCAGATGCTGATCCTGATTCTACAATTACTGATCAATTGCCTGAATATGAAACACTAACTGCGAAATTCCATTTCGTTGACCTTGCTGGAAGTGAACGCCTTAAACGAACTGGTGCTACTGGAGATCGTGCCAAAGAGGGTATATCAATCAACCGCGGTTTGGTAAGTTATATGATCATTCGCGTGAAGTGGTCCATAGTTTACGTCTTGTTTCTTAGAATTAGTTTATCACTTGTTTGTATCCATTTCACGGTTATGGATTACTGACCCATCATACTCTAATGTATATGTAGTTTTTACTTCTGTATCTTATATAAACTTCTTATTAAGTTTGGTAGTAGGCGATATTGTGTAATATGATATTCACTAAGTTCTTAAGTTATGTTCATTTAAAAAGTGCTTTAATTTCCGTTTATTTTTTAAAAATCACTTTCGTATGAACCTCAAAATTGTTGTCATGAGATAAAAAGTTAGTGTAGTTGATTAGAATGAATTCATTTTAATCCTATTGAAATTGTCTTATTACTTCTTAAGATTCTGCTACGTAACAATGCTATCTTAAGGTGTACAAAGTGTTACAATGACATTACAGAAAAAAGTCATCAGTAACGTAGAACCTATGGCATATGTATATATCCAAGTTGTCATACTAAATCAATACAGTGAAATGAATTCATCATAACAAATTCCATTGTCGACGAAGAAACAACGGTACATGTAGTAATAGATAGAAAAATTCTTAAACATAGGTGATACAATCCAGATAAAAAGAATGAATTCGTGAAATTAAAAAAAGTACGAGAAAAGTCCATGAATGAGAATGGAATTTACAGTGTATTTTATAACTGACTGCTAATAGTTGAACTTTCGGGGTCCGAGATTTGACTTTCACTCACACATTCTCTGGAAAATTTCGAAATCGAGACTAAAAAAATGTGTTTTGAGTTCATTACTGCTGAATCTATCAGAAATTGATAATTTTTCATCAAAAATTTAAATAATAAGGACGTTTCACAAGTTTTAACTTTTTCATTTAAACGAAAAAATTTTGAATTTTAGCTGCAAACTAAAACGTTAACTAACGGGTTGGAGATAGCTGTCTACTCTACAATTACATTCTATCTGATTTATTAACTTGCGAGATAGTTTATCAATCATTTTTGTGATGATTCTCTACTTTGATTTGGATATATACTCATAACTTTATTTCATGATCTGATGTTATTTAATTACTTCCCATCTCACTCAAAGAATATTTCCTGTGATTTGCAACTCTTTCAGTGACATTTTATAACTTCAACTGGATAATTTTTTACCTTTATTCGTGGAATTCCCTTCAATTCTTTCTTTAAAATCAAATAATTGATTTATTTAACAAATTAATTTAATTAACATCAACTCAATTTATATAAGTCAATAATTGGTTAATAATTAGCAAATTTATCCACCTTTTTTTGCATTACTTAGTTTATTCTGTGTCACCTTAAACAAACAACTGATCATTTATAAAGTAGAAATTTCTCACATTTATACGTGCTTAAGAAATGATTGGACTTTAAACAGTTGATACATTTTTAAAAACCTTTTACGATAAGTAATTTTGTTGATGCATTCTTTAATGTTATCGCTCATTTATATCAGTGTCTCATTTATCTGACACATGGTTATTTTTAACTTTCAAAAAGTAAACAATTTTATTTGTTTTCTTCATCACTTGACGCACTATTTAAGTAAATATAACCATTTAATACTCATTAGTTGGGCTTGCAATAAATTAATTTATGAGAGATTGAAATTTCATTCGTACGAAGTAGATTTTCTTCTATCCTGGATACTTTTTCTTGGACAGACAAATAGTATTTTGAGTCCTTACAATAAATTTAACTGGAAGCTTTTAGTGTACAAGCGTATAACTGTTTATTGAGTTCTGTCAACCATTTTGTGTCATTGATTTGTTGAATTTGATCATCATCTTCCTTAGGATTTGTTGGTGGAGTTTGATTCTCTAAGCTAGATATTTTGGTTATGGACCTTTCATTGTTCTTCTGAACTACATCATCGGCAAAAACTTCATTGTACATTGTTCTTCTGAACATTGAAATCTCCACAACCAAAACATCTATCTCAGAGAACGAAACTCCACCAAAATCATCCACCTGAGCTTCTTAGGATTTTCTACTTCACATAAACTTTTAATAAGTCATTAGGCATTTCTTAAAACATTTATTAATTTAAATGTTTTTATTTGTCCTTCAAGAATAAATGTTCACTTTCATTGCCGTTATTATTTTTGTTGTTTCCTTATCTGTACTAAAGATGGCAAATAATTTTTTTTGCATTTTCTAAGCAACGTTTTATTATTTTAATGATGACTGTGTTTATAATAGACACTATAATAATATCAAAGTATTCTATTCTATTAATTGCTGCTTTGTGATTGTTATCTTAATTTCTCATTCCCTTATTAAATTGTTTGCATTTATCTTTTTAGCTTGCTCTCGGTAATGTTATATCTGCTTTGGGTGATAAAACAAAACGAGGTTGTCATGTGCCTTATCGTGACTCTAAATTAACTCGTTTACTTCAAGATTCTCTGGGTGGAAATTCCCGCACAATTATGATCGCCTGTATTAGTCCATCTGATTGTGATTTTTTAGAAACTTTGAATACCCTTAAATATGCTAATCGTGCACGTAATATACGTAATCGTGTCACTATGAACCAAGATAAAACAAGTAAGCAGTTGGCGACATTGCGTGCTCAATTGGCTGCTTTAGAGGAAGAATTAAATGAATACAGACAAGTAAGTTTGCTTGTTTAAATTATGTGTGTTCATTGTGTGCATGTGCGTGTATTTTCAATAAATCCTGAGATGTCCCTGTATGCGTCGTATCCATACGGTGCTTAAACCACTTCATTGTAAAATAAATTAGTGATCAATGCTAACTTTCAATTATATTATCTCATATAGTCATACATTGAAGTTTATAGTCATTATGTTGTTCCCACCGATCGCTTCACAGCATTAATAAGTGATTTGTTATGCTTGAAGATATTCATATATGGTTGTTCATCCTATATTTATCCCTTTGTGTCAGTCTCCTTCTAGACAAATAATTTGTATCAGATATATCTGTTAGACTGTTGGTATGAACTCAGTCATATAATAGTCATTATCGGGTTAAGTTTTGTTGAAACCACAAATCGATCAATGTTAGACTACCATTAGCAACCTGGCAGCACTGGGCGGTTATTTCGTTCTAGTATGGGACTCTTCAGCAGTATGTATCTGCGACCTCGCAAACGCTTAACCTCTAGACCACTGAGCCAGTATCTAACGGTTTTAATGTCCAACCTCAGTCATTCCACGATATTGTGCAACCTCATCCGTTGTTTTCAGTGGATAACTGCCCCACACTCGACACGGCTTCTCACCAGAACCCCGAGAAATCCCTCACAAAGCTCGTCACTAGTGAGCACATGATAGTTGAGATTATAAGACTGGAGATTGTTGGGTTTCATTAGAATCATGAACCGATCAATGTTAGTTATTTAAAATAGCATTGTAGGTGTTCGCCTGAGCTCTTAGTCCTCCTATTATAAGAATCTTCATTTTACTAATCACTGTGCTAATACCAATATAAAACTATTCAGAGTCTCAAATTTACTGACGATTTCAGATTTGAATGCTGAATATTCTTGCAGAAATGATATTCTGGTTAAGAACAGATAGGTTTCCACTTTAGTGTAATATATATTAAGTAGCCTACCAATCTGTTCGTTCAACTTCAAAATGCGCCTGGTAATGTGAAATAGCTGGAGTTTTTTGTCCCGTTTATTATTTGTATCTATGAGTAAATTTGTCTATATTTCTTAATATTTTTTCGAGTTTTTTTGGAGTAAAATACTTCCAAAGTATTTCATCAATCAGTCAATCAATAGCAATGTGGAACTTCGCACGTACGTACGTACATCAGTTTATGTTGCCGTACCGTATTAACACAGATGTAATTGTCAATTCAAATCCCATAGTAGTAGATATAATAGAAATTTTAGCGGCTATGGAGATTAGAGCTCGAAGATATTATTCAGAAATATAATCTAGTGAAATAAACTTGAAAAGATAAAGTGTTGAGGAATTAAGAGGTTTAAGATTTGAGAGAACACAAAGAATGAAGGCACCTTCACCATTGCAAACGGTTTCGAGCCATGCCATTCAAGGTCTCTAACCATCGATTATTATCATCTCACAGGCCACAACCAGGTAGTCGGCGCCTATCGACATAACTTAGTCCACTTGTCAGCGACTTCATGGAAGTAGTCGGTGGTTGGACATTCGTAACACATGTCCGAACCACCTCAACTGACGAAGTTTCACTAGTTCATCAATTGATCTGCCACCCTTACCTAGTACCCGTTTCCTAACAACAGCATTGCCTACTCGGTTGTCCCACGATACACGAACAATGCTTCGAAGACACCTATAATTGGAAACCAGTAACCTACGAATTTCTTCTACTCTGACTGGCGATGTTTCGCGTCTGTATAGCGAACTGCTGTGCAGTAGACTCGTCCTTTAGCCAGCAAACGGATATCTTTCCTATGCTGTAAGTGACGCAGGTTGGCAAAAGCCAGTTGAGCTTTCTGTATCTGTGCTGAGTTTTCGCCAGTCACCAGGCCATCGGCGCTGATGAAACTCCCAAGATAAGTGAAGCGGTCTACATGCTCATCTGCTTCACTCCCTATCACTAGTTCAGATGCCGACGCAACCCAATCTTGAAGCAATATTTTACATTTTGAGGGAGAAAACCGCATCCCGAACATGTTTGCATTGTCGCTCAGGGTAGTCAGAAGACTGCATTTCGTCAGCGTCTTCACCAAGTAGAACTATGTCATTGGCATACTCTAAGTCAGCAAGCATATCTCACGGTAGAAGCCCTACTCCTGAAAAGTCAGACGAAGTTAATATTATATCTAGTATCATGGTTATGATGGATTTAAACAAGAATCTGGAGAGTGGACATCCCTGATGGACCCCACTTGAAGTAGAGAATTCCGTTGACAGTTCGCCATAAGGTTAATGTACTTCTTTGGTACACGTTTTAATGACAGACACTGCCACAGAACCTCACGATCGACTAAGTCAAATGCCGCTTTTAGGTCCAGGAAAACTATTGTAGGGCGCCTAAATGTGTGTCTGTGTTCCAGGACCTGTCGTAGTGTGAAAATGTAGTCTACACAGTCTATTTATAAAATGGTAAACCTCTACGTTGAACTTTTTACCAATTTTCACAATTAAGGCTTTTACTTTTCTGCATACTTATGTTGGTTACCTAACTTTTCAGTCCTTGATCATTCTGCTCACTAAATTTTCTGTTTTTTTATTTTAAGGGCAAACGGCTTGCAATAACAAACAATTCTGAAAATTCGAGTGATTTATCACGAGAAATCAATATGCTACAGTCTGAAAACGACAAACTTCGTCTTCGCGTTAAAGCATTGGCTGTTACTGTAGATGCTTTAAAAGTAAGTTGAAATTGTGTATTGTTTTCTAAAAAAGTGATGTATATTATTATGTGATACATTGTGTAGCTTGTGGTCACTAAGTCATCCATTTTGGTCCCATCTCTTCGTACTCTATATTGCTACTAAAGCAACAACAGATTTCACTCTTATGTCTAGGAAATTGTACCCAGGCACTAAGTCATAAAAAACTTCATATCTGTACAATAATATCTTCAAAATATAGTGATGAGCAACTCCACCTAAGGTTACTCTCGGTGCCAAGCATGGATGAAGGAAGAATGTTAGGCTAAGAGCAACCCTATCTCGTGAAAAACAAACCTGCGAAAAAATGCTAAGCAGAAAAAATGATTTTAACTATGTAGGACCTGAAAAGAAAGAAAGAAGAACTGTCATAACTTCAAGGCACCATCTGGTGATGTCTAACTTACTTGCAACTGTAAGTAAAAGAACTTTAACTAACTTTTGAGTCGACCAGCACCACTAAACCCACCCAACAGCGAAGCAGCACCCACGGACATCCCAATTAATTCTGACCTACTAAGAATTGGAGAAATCAGCATGGCCATCACACATATCAAGAGCGGAAAAGCAGCAGAACCAGACAAAATTCCATTAGAGGCACTATACTCCAGACATTGCAGTAGCTACAAAAATGCTCCATACTCCTAAAGATTTAGGAGGAAGAACAAGTACCGACAGATTGGTAACAACAATGCCTCACCAAGATACCGACGAAAGGAGATCTCAGCATGTGTGAGAACTACACAGACATCATGCTTCTCTGCATGCCAGACTAAGCCTTCAGCAGGGTGATGCTGAACAGAATGAAACATTCAGTAGATGCTCAACTTCGAGATCATTCTGGATTCCGTAGACACATCGTGTACCACCTGTATTATGAAGACGTCAACATCTGGAGGCAAACACAGGGTACAGTGGACAGCTAGGATGCAGTTGAATGATTTGAGGTTCGTGGATGATCTAACCTTCTATCCCACTCACAACAACGAGTGCAGTGGACGGCCGGTGTAGCTGTAGGCCTTAAAACACACAAGGACAAAAGTAAGATCCTCCGATGCAACACAGTGAAAATCAGTCTAGAATCTTTTTATCATGATAATTTCCTGTTACTTTACGTCAGTCATATTATATTGAAGAAACTACTAATCATACTTTTACCCGGTCGGCATACGCAATGCATTTTTTTCGTCCACATCATTGTTATATACTGGATGAACTGTTAAATCATAATGTTGTTTCAAAACTCTGCTGAGTTATTTTGCTACAAACAGAACTACCCTTGAAGTTTAAATAAAAGTTATGTAGAGAACTCTCAATATTTGATTTTTATCTTTTAACTTTCTTAATAGTTTACATGCGATATGCTTACAGAGCAATTGTGTCAGATGCTTCATTCGAAAACGGCTCTTCATCGCGTATGACCATTAAAGCAGAGCGTAACTTTTAATCGCAATACGCAGTGTACATACACGTCGTATACAAAATCAAACCCTACCTTCGGTCTCACACACGAACACTTAACATCTAGACCACTGTGTTAATTTTTATCCGTAATTAATGCACGATATTGCACAATCTTTATTTATTGTCTAGGTACGAAATGCACAACTGCTTGCCGATCAAGAGACCTACTCTTGGGCTACATTAAAATTGAGATCATCTGGAGCAGAACATACTACGGAACAAACAAACAGTACAGAATCTGATAGTTCTCCATCACTTGGTCTCATTTCTGCTGATGCGGAAGATTTTCGTCACCTTGTTGAAAAATATACCATTGAAGTAGAAGAACTACGGTACGATCCCGTGAAGTTTTCTCTAGTTATTGAAATTGTGACCGTTGGTTCAAAACATTTTGTTATGGTTTTATAATTTTCCATTCCTACCTGTTTACATGTATTTAGATGACCTGTTAGTGGGACATAGATGGATTAAAGCATGACTGCGCTAGCTGCGCGCTGATTCGCTAATTTCCTAATCCAATCAGCGCCTGATCGATTTATGGAGAACAGGGTAGAAAATTCTCGTGTTGTTAGCTGCACTCTGATTGGCTAAATCTAATCCAGTCGATCCCGTGAATTACTATCCAGAAGCTTCTCATGTAAATACGATAAGGAATCTAACGTTGCATCTATTTTGCCTTCGCCTTCGGTTTCTTATTTCCATTTAACCTTGCTATTTGGAATATAATCTTTTCCTATTCCACCGTGTTTTTGATTCTTGGAACTTGTCCAGTGTATTGTGGTCAGAGAATACTAAGCAATATGAATTAGCCGGGAATTATTTAAGCAAGCGTACAACATGACCTCATTAGTTTTCATTCACTTTATGGTTCAAAGTTGATTCTACTAAAACGTTATTCCCGTTCAGATTTGATACCTGCAAATCGTAGTCTTCTTCCCTAACATTTTATCTACACAAAACTATCAGAAAGTAGGGGAAAAGTCATCGACATAGTATTGAACTGAGTTTTATTGTTTCTAAATCTTAGTCTCAAAGCTTTATCTCGGACGCTTCATTGTTGGTCTACCAAAATCTTCAGTCATCAGCTGTGGAGGGTTTCTAATTTCTTCAAAATAACTTGCATATTATTTCCGTACTACTTTGAATATTTTTATCTTGGGATCATAATCGTTTCTAATCTCTACCTGTTAAGGGTTGCCCACTAATGTTCCACGAGATAATTTCAAATATTTTTGTTTGGCGACATTGTCTTAAATTTCGTTTAAGGATAGTAGTTATGCGGACTATACTTTCATTTTTTTGCATGATCCATTCTGAATGTATAGATTTCTTATAATAATTATTAATCTGTTTGTAATATGGGAAATCGAATTTCCAATATTTCACTTTTTATTAGTTGCTTCTTCAACAAATAAATAAATATTCGTGCGAGAATTTATTGATCATTCATTCACTCGGTTACAACTCAGAACTTCATACATACGTACATCATTTCAAGTTGCCATACCACATTAACACAGATAGATGAAACTGTCAATTCGAATCCAATAATAGTAGAGTTAGTAGCAGTAATAGCGGTAATGAAAAAGTTTAAGGTTTGAAGATATGATTCTAAAAGTATAATCCAGTAAAGGAAAGAGAAAAAATACTGTCATAAGGAATACAGTTTAGGATTTCGGAGAAAGCAATAATGGATGCATCTGCACTATTGCAAACGATTTTGAGCTATATCATTCAGATTCTAACCATCAATTACTATCGTCTCGCGGACTCCGACAGGATAGTCTACACGTACCAACATGGCTCAGTCTAGCTGTCACTGAATTCATGAATTTGTGCCATGTTTTTGGTTTGGTCGGCCCAGAAGTGGTTGATACCAAGTTTCGAAGCGTCGGAAATTAAATTTCCTACTCATTGGGATTATTACATCGAATTCTTGGTTCGTTCGTAAATATTTTCAACCCATAGAAGTTCCTATTAATTCAACTATTTTATCTTAAAAGGATTGCTTAGTGAAACCAGATAACTCTACAAGTTTTCTGTTGTGTTGGTTTGTTTAAAGTTTAACATCTTTTGCATTTCTTTTTAGCACTAAATTGGCAGAAGCTGAAGCATTAGCCGAATTTAGTCAACGACCGTACTCTCATGCTTCACCAGCTGGTCTATCAGATCGTCGGTTTGTTTCGAAAATTGACTCAATCTATACACCGAATCGTGTTGCGTTTACAAACAATGAATTCCCAGACCTCGATTCTAGCATGTTAGCGGCTGCTGAGACGGGATTATCTGCTGTGAATACTTTCTTCAGCAGTGAGGTACAAGGGGATGACAACACTGTTGAATCTAGTTATTCTCACCGACAGCGCAAGCGGCGGCGCAGAAAGAGGCATATAATCAATACGCAGAGTGAAGAACGTAAACCTCTTAAATCGAAACGTAAGTACTTTGTTACCCTTTTTCTAGTGCAACTTCAGTTTACCTATTCATGTTTTACTTTGTAGTAAGTGAATCACATTAGGTTTTTTAGTGTATCGACCTTTTTCAAGGTGTCTGATTTTCAAACATAGATTTTAATGCTTCGGTTTGAGTGAGTCTTATTGTTCTTGTTAAAATTAATTTATATCTTAAAATAACATTCTCGTCCATATGTTTAAGAACAAAATCAAACTTCACTATCTATTACTTAAATAATAGTTTAGAGAGTTAGCTCATTTCTACATTGTCATACAACTATCCTATATTAGTTGTCGCAAAGTTATTTTTTTTTTCAACATACAACCGTCCCATTAGTGATATCAGTATTTTTTAGCTTTAGTGTATTCTCGTGCTATTTATGACTGTTTTGTAATGATATTATTACTATTAGAAAAAATTTAATTGTACCGAAGGGCACCTAAACATTTATGCGCCACAAAAGTTTATGTGGCAGATTTGTGTTGACTGGAATACCTACTACCCAGTTGCCAAAACCAAAGCAGGTGCTTTTCTTAGTAAGCCATTACCCTTAGCCTTTGGCTTAGAGGTCTAATCTACAAGGTAGTAGAACGACCTTAGATTTATTCTTATGGTAGCCGGTGTCTAACAGTAAGTGAGAAATTCTCCTTTATTACTTGTTACTAGTCACGGTTCATCTCCTTTTTCTCGCATCTTGATTGAGTTAATTGTCGATAAATTGACTGTTTTTATTGTTCGGAACATATTTTTCATAGACGGCGATTTCGAATTCATTTTTACTTTGGGCACTTTTATGATTGACCGTTGTTGTCTTATCATCTTGAATATAAGCTTAAGTTAAATTAATTGCAACTTATTGTAGAACCACATTGATGTATATATATATATATATATATATATATATATATATATACAAAAACCTCCAAGTAATCAAGTCACTCTTCTGACTAAAAATAGACCTCTGGTGCGTTATTCAGTGAATCTAACAATCGGTTCATACGCCATTCTCCCCCTTAAGGTCCTGGAACTCATGTGCATTATTGGTTTGGAATCAGAGTTTTCCAACTCCCCTTGGTGGACCCTTCGTTCTCATTGATTTACGTACGTACAAAGTTCTAAGTTGTTTCTGGCTGACTGACCAACCCGGTTTAAGCCTTAGATATTCACTTCTCGTTTTCTCGATTTCGTAAGAAACCCCGTCCACGAGAAGGCAACGGCCATATGAGAGCATTTGATGAGGGAGAATGAATCCTATCTACCCTTAGCCATATCAGGGTATTTAAAGACATAATAATCTCATTATTTAATAGCTGGACTGTTATAAAGATACCATGTTTAGTTCCTTTTCCAATAACTTATATGTTTATTTCATGTAATACTTTCTTACTCTATTTGTAGTCAATAATGTTGATGTACATTCTGATGTGGAACAATCCAAAAGTGTTGATTCTCAGAAAAGAAGACTGCATAAATTTTTATCCAATGACACAAATGGAGCTGTAATTAGCGATGACGATGAAGATCGTGAAAATAAAATGACTGAAACATTAAGCAGTGTATCCGTTGAGGTAGGTATTCATTTGTACTTGACTAGTATACACTAATCAAAGCTGTCTTTTGATACAAACGAATATTACCCACCTTATTATATATATATATATATATATATATATATATATATATATATATTAAAAGTAAACACAAAATATGAAAACAATTAGAACTAATAATTTGTTCCTTTCTTTGTAATATAATCGATATCGATAGTTTAACTGTTCAATTACTTTTTTTCTCTTTTTTTCGAAATTTAATACAAGAAATACAGGAAATGATTGTATTATTTTTATTGTTAATGAAACTGAATACTTACTGTGACAGTATTTAAAATCTCATCAGCATAACTTTTGTTGTTACCTAACTCCTAACTTTAATAAAGAACACATTATTTATTTGTCGTCGTTGATCGATTCATCTAACAATTAAATCATCATCTTAATACGAGCGTTTTATTTTGCAGCATCTCTGTCGCTCATTAAGAAGTTGGTTGTTGTATAAAACGGGAGAGTTATTTGTCTTCTGTGATATAATTTCAAAACTCATCAAAACCATTGATACATTTTCAATAGATTACAAATTCGTCTACATTCATGTCATGTCAAATGAATTCTTTTGCAAAGTTTAAGATTTCATTAGTTATTTCCATTCAACTAATTATTATATAAGCAATTTTTAATTATTGTTTTTCAAAAAAAAAATGTTTTGTCTTTCTACCACCATTTTGCTTAGATTGAAAGTAACAATATAGGCGATGAAACTCTTTTAGGCAATGCTAGTATATCTAGCAATGATTCAAACTATAAACAACGTGATAAAATGGACGATGTTTCCGAATTCACTGATTCATGTTCAGATACTGATTTAGAAGGTAAATTGTTTCATTTGAAGAATTATTATGTATGATAATAGTAAAATATTCTATTTCTTATGGAATTCGATTGTAGATTATTAATTAATTCATTTTATTTTAAAAATACTTCAGATTGATAATTCTCAATTCCTGTATGTTATAAATTAACTGCTGTTTTTTTTTATAAACCATTATTATTGTAATTCAATAATCTCTTTGTTATTTTAGTAATTTAACATGGTATAAATTCGATTTATATGTCAGTTTGCTAATCTCATCTTCACACCTATATTAGGATGTTTATACACTAAAGACTAGTGAAAGTTATTATTATGTTATGACAGTATACAAAGATATGTTTGGATGCTATCACTATTAAATTCACTTTCTATATGTTATAGATATAAATGATGAAAATGATATTTTAACTAATATGGATGCACAGACAAATGATAAAGCCCCATGTAGATTAAAAGAAGCTCGATTACACCAGAGTTTAGCTCATGTATCATCAGAAATAGATTCTAAACAAAAATTAATTGCAGAGTTACAATCTAAAGCTGCCGAACTTGATCATCTGAAAAATCACTACGAACGACAAATGACCAATCTTCAGTGGCGTATTAAAGAAACAGAACATGAAAGAGATTCAGTAATTGCTAATTTAAGTCAAATTGAATATACTGGTGAAGAACGTTTAAAGCGTACCCGGGAAGAGTTTGAAAGAAAGCTGTCTGCATTACAAGTAAGTTCATATTTCAAATCGATTTAAATGAGTTTTATGTGCACTTTTTTATGATTGATCGATCTTTCATAAACAAAATACAATGTAATTAATGTTCTGATCAAATACATTATTTTGTTTAATTTTTTTAAAAATATCCAGGAAGAAGTGTCACGACTCCATCTTGCTCGTCAAGAACAAATCCGATTAGAACGGCAGCAATCTAAGAAAAATGATGAATTACGTCAACTAAGACAAGAACTGGAACAACTACGTCGATACAAAATTGATCTAACTAAACGTTTAAGAGAGGAAATGCAGCGCACTCGTCAGCTAGAGGCCTTGTCAGCTAAACGCGTTATGGAATTGAAAAAAGCCAAGTCACAAGCAGATAATCAGATTAAGTCTTTGGAGGCAGCCCATTCAGCTAAAGATCGTGCATTGCAAAAGAAACAAGCTGAGGTAATAATTTACAATGAGGGTTTTATTAAATGCTAGTTCTTAACAGTTCTCTGAAAATCGATATTTTGCTTAGCTCACCTTCAAACATTCTATTGATGAACGATTTGAATTATTATGGATTGATTCACTTCATAAAACCTAAGTCAACCATGCATCCACTCAGAACTGTGGACTCATGTGCCGTAAAATATGTAAAATGAAGCTCGTCCTTTAGGATATTTCAGCCTTATATGTCCTCTAGAGATTCTTGTTAAGTGTCATAAAACAAATGACTCACTAATAACCCGAAAGCGTATCGCTTTAGGTTACATAAAAATGATTGATTGATGATTTCAAATGTGTAAAAACGCAAACCTCCAAAACTGTGCCCCAAAATATCGTAACAGTGCTCACTGGTGACTAGCTTCGTGAGGAAATTCTCGGAGTTCTAGTTGAGAAGAAGTGACCAATGGAGTTCAACCCTGTAGGGTATAGGCAGTAACTACCAAAGACAAATGGGTGAGGTCGCGCGAATTCCCTAGATCAATCAGAGTTAGACATTAACACCGTTGGATGCCGGTCCAGTGGTCTGATGGTAAGGCGTTCGCCTACAATATCGAAGGTCAGGGGTTCGAATCCTGCGAGGAGCAGGAGTCGTTGTTGCGCACTGCCGATGAGTCCCATACCAGGTGGAAACGGCCGTCCAGTGCTTCCAGGTTTCTAATGGTGTGGTCTAACAATGATTGATTGATGATTTCAAGTGTGTAAAATCCTATTGTATCAATCTTTAAGTATGTCCGTTAATCTTCTGACCTGTGTATGTAGTCTCAAATTCAAACTGTTATAGATAGATAGAATAATTAATCTAGATTTTAAAGTATGATTGATAATTTCGCGATAATATTTGAAATGTTAGTCTGATTAACATATTTTTCGTAGAATGTGATTTACTGACTATTAAATACTACCTGCTAATTAACACAAGCGTTACATAGTTTTCTCACCTAAAATCAAGGGTATTTAACGTATAACACCATTTTCTCAAAAATGGGTACATGTACACGTAAGACTTCATTTTAGCCATTTAGCTCAATCTGAAAATGTTTCTTAAAAGGTTGAATTCTCTCTAAAATCAACACTCAACAAGTATATCACGAAATGTTTTTACTCTTATTGGTAGTTGTGAGGAAGTTTTAGTCATATGATTACTTAAAACTTTGTACAATTTTATTTTGTTCGGACATTTTAATCTTGAACTCGTCTGTTTCTATTTCATAATCATTGTTTATTGCTAACTAGATCAAAGACAAGCCTACCATATCTTACTGGCCGTTCAGTTAAGTTTTCACAATATAGTTGTTTTATCTTATAGGTAATAAAAAAATTCAAGCGGTTTTTTATCATTTTTATCCATTCAGAATCGATTATTTTGTATTGATTCCTCTTTTAAACCATGGTGTTTTTTCATTCGTCAGACATTCATGTTTCAGCCTAGCCTTTCTTTTATTAATAACAAGATCAATATTTCAGCTAGACAGATCACAACACATTATGATGTAATACAAATTTGTATGAATCTAAGTTGCCGTGTTTCTCATCCATCTAATAAGGAAGGGGTGAAATATACAAAAAAGTGATTGATAATAATGTAACAACGTAGAACTGAGAAAATAAAAAGGCAAATACAAATGAAATATTTGAATGAATGCAAGTGTTTCACGTAGGACGAATTCCGAGTCTTAAACTATGGATCATTTTGCATGCTCCAACAACTAATTGGAAGATTTCCTGTTAAATTGTTTTTACGCCTCGTAATTCTTAAACGTTTGATGTGCTTTCACTGGGCGATGATTGGAATAAAATTATTTACTACAAAAAGACCTAACGTCCCTTATTCTTTGTAATGATCGATAGTGACATTGTTTATTTGTGTATGTTATATAGTCGATTTCGTAGTTCACCAAGTCAGATAGTGTCTCTGCCTAAACTTATTAGTAATAAATAACAATAAAAATATAGTTGTTTAGTCAGCTGAAATTGCTAAAATATCATCTAAGTGTTTTCTTTCCTTGTCTATCCCGCAACTACCTTTCAAGTCTGGTCTCAGAAAATAACACAGCCTTCAATGGAGAAGATTTACATATTTCCACTCAGTCGATTTGTAGGAGAAACTATTAACACACTTTGACGTGTATCCTAATCGTTACAAAATCCTTCATGCTTGACTGAGACCCGTTTTAGAGATAGATTTCCTCTTTACAAATATGCATCTAAAACCTTAAGGAAGTAGATGTAGTCTATCAGGTTAAAGTCATAACTACTGGCTGGTGATAATTGACGATATGAATCGGGATCGGTCGCAGTGGCTAAGATACATCCACGTCTTATTTAAAACTTACTATTCTGAATTTTGCTAATTTCATCTGACTGTTCACATGGTATGATAGCTTGAACCGAATTACTTATAACTGACTGATACAGTCTCTGGGGGTCCGGTTAGTCTGATTCAGTGGGTCTTAATTTGAATCGACTGAGTGCAATCACCAAAGATTTTTATTACATCTAAACAATTGCCACTGTCGGATACGTCTATCTGTTTCGATAAACTGTGTAACTATTTATTAAATAAATTAATATTCTTGTTACTTAGTTCCCATCCCGGTTTGGTTATCCACGATTATTCAGATTGTATATAACCGTTAATTACTTTATTTAAACTCTTTAGTTGGATATCCTCAAACGTAAGAATATTGAACAACAGCGACAGTTGTCTTCTTCATTTAATAGTCGTATGTCTCAAAGTGTAACAGGAATAACAGGATCAGGTTGGAGTTCGCTACGCAAACCAATTCATCGAAATTCAATGACTGTTTCGACATTTAATCGAAGTCGTTTATTTGGATCTGCTAAAGCGAAGTGGGCAATAGTATCACAAGAACTAGATGCTGATATTGAACGACTTCAAAAGTCAGCACGTTTAGAACACGATCTTCAAACTTGGATTCGTGAACGTGAATGCTTAGGACGAAGGTTAAAACGTTTACAACTTCGAAGAGCTCGCAATGAAGAAAATGCAACCAATGATTCTGAAGAAGTTGAAAATTCGACTAGACTAGCTGAATTTGATGAACAAGTGAGTTTTTGTAAATTTTTGCTGTATTACTATATTTCATTCATTTGTTTTATTTATATTAAATTATGCTGTTTACTTAAAAGTGTTTGTAACTCTTCCTAATTTTGAACAGATAAGGAATGTTACAGCACAACTCGAATCCGTTCAGGATGCTATACAAGAATGTCAAGCTAGTATTATTGAATTCGAGAAATGTGGTTCTAGCTCATCAAAACTCAGTGAAAATAAACCCACAAAATCGATTGTTTCAAGACAAGACCTTTCTTCAAGTAACTCTAATCAGCCGAGTAATATTCATGCATTCTTCTCGAGCTGTACATTAACTGAAGCTCGTTTTTTGCTGAGCAAACTTTTTGAGACTGCTGTTTCTCGTGGTCTGCTAGCTAGTCGGCTGCAACATAATGAAAGCCAACTTCGAGCTAATATTTTGGTCAGAGAACAAGAACGAGAACAAGAACTAGAAATGCTTAAGTTAGCGATGCACCAAGCTGGAGTACCATCAGATAATGTGGAAGCTATATTTTCTGGTAACGAGCGCCTAAATAGAAGGACAAACTCTTGTCCATATCATGGAGTATTAAATATCACAGGCTGTGAATGCTGTAGTTATGTTTTATCGTCTGTACCACATTCCCCGGATGATTCGTCAGATGGTTTACCGAATGATGATAACCAGTGGCAAGTAGATTCAGATAATTTCGCTAACATGTCCCAGTCAATGTACGCAAATATGGAATCGTCAAATATATCAAAATGTAGTAAGTGTAAAATAATTTATTTCCGACTGAGTTCATTTCTAACCGATATTATTGATGACTAAATGTGTATGTATCTGTATCCATTATTTTCTGAAAGACAGCACAATTCCGATTCATTTCGTATTATTATTAAGTAGGTTTTCGTAGAAATCTTTATATTTTTCACTTAGACATCAAGGTAATCTTAATCAGTAATCAGTTTCGGATATTAAGTTTATGCTGTCTAATTCACACTGTGCGCTATAGGATCTTATCATTCTTCTTGAGTATTCATTATGTAGTTTTTGGTCAGTATTAATTGATATTCTCCAAGTATACATCTCAGCTATACCACTTCTTGAACATGATGAGTATTAGATGATCGAAACTGATAAAACAGAAAAAGCATCGACAGTATGTAAAACACTAGACGACTGTCCAGGTTTATCAAACAAATAGATACTGAAATGTTAGCTAAATAAATTGGAAATAAATTGGAATAGTACTAAACGTGACCTAGATGAATGAGATACTCCAGGAAACAGTTCATCTAGCTTTCCTTCAATTGGCTCATCACAGTCGGCTACATCAAGTGGTATTCTTCAGGGTTTTCTACTTTCCTCGGACGCCTTAGTTTGGTTTTTCAAAGATTTGTATTCTAACTGGGGATTTCGTTACCATTTTAAAATACGCAAATGTTGTACTTTGTTTGGTGCTTGAGCGTTTTGATCACTTCGATTATCTTCGAAGTCCCATAAACTATAGGATTTGAGACTGTTGCTTGTATATTTCTTCAGTTCTTCGTATCGAAAATTCTAATTAGTTTGTTGACAGTCATTGCTTTGCAATTGACAGAGTTCTATTCTAATGTGATGCATCGTTTCAAATCACAGGTTTGTTTTGCTTATTTATGATGGAAAAGCTTCTGTCCAAATATACCAGTACTTTTTTTGAAGTGTATGAAGAGTTATTCAGTTTTTATTTGGTTTCAGTTTCATCTTGGTCACCACCAAATAGTGATCTGAAGCTGTCATCTCTCCTCTCTCTTCCCAAGTCTTCCTTTGATCCTTTTGAACACTATTTACGCTGATGTTTGTGAAACCTGGCCTCCGAGTTGGGGATGTCAAGCGACTCACTGATTTTGATCGTCGTTGTCTCTGGAGGATTGTTGACACAGCGATAATAATTCAGTTGGTGTTGTCCTTTTGAATCACCTACTTCGTTAGCTTGGGCATAAACTATAATTGTCTTCCCAGAGAATTATAAATCGTTCATTATTTGCCGACACAGGCTGGTTGCAGAAAGTGAAAAGATGGTCAGTATATGAGATGATGTCATGGTATGATAGAAGGCTCTACAGAACTGGCATTCATATAACCTGCACGACTCTCTGGTTCTAGATATAGTGTAGGTTAGCGTTTTGATGCGTCCAGACATGGCTCGAAATGACATCCAGTGGCTGTCGTGTTGTAATATTCTCTTACTTTATTTGTACAATAGGAACTTACTTGACTAAGAAAATTCCCCTCTGATTATATTTTTCCCAACTGCTTCTCCCACTATTTTCCAAAGTCCTCACTCACTAATTTCTATCCATGTTCTATTATAATAACCTCCCTATCTTAACAATTTCATTTTTCTTGTGTAGTGCACTTATTTTTGTGCTATTTTGTACTTATATTTCTGTGTAAAGTAATTCTCGAAGATTGACTACTACTAAATTACCCCTAAATTTTTCAGCAGGGTGCTTCAGAGCTCATAGTTTTTCTTTTAACATTTTCTTCGGTGAAAATTTTTGAATGTTTCTTTATTCATGCTTCACTTTGACGAGTTGCTGGAATCAATGTTATGTGTATAACCTTTAACCTTGTTTACTTTGCGTGACCGATTCAACATATAGTTAATTGCTAGTTGAATTAATATTACACTAGTTACATGATTAACATTTTTATTTCTTTACATTTTTAATCCCCTCGCTTTAATATCTTTGTTACTTCGGTTTCAGTTTCAAAAGCAACAGAACTACCCAGTGCTGTTTCAGATAATAGGTAAGTAATGATAGTAACAATTATTATCGTTATTATTTCTATACAACCTTCTTCATTTAAAAAATGCTATTGTATAAATTATATTCTAATCAATCTTATTATTTCAATGGTTAAATTCAATTGTTTTATGTTACATAGATATTTCTTTTTGTTCTTGATAAATATTAGGGTTTGGCATTATCTTCAGTTTATTGATTCCTTGTTTTTCCTGTATTTTATTGAACTCTTCTTACGAGTTAGTCACACCCATGGTAAGTGCTATTTTATGATGAATAAAATAACCGTAAATTACTTAGAAAAAAATACGGATCTGTTTTTCTGTGGAGAAAATACTTGTATTAATAGTAAAGAAGTAGGCAATGTATCATATTCACCTTTAACTAATTTATAGGACATGGTGAAACAATGTATATGACTTCATTTGAATAAGCTAATTGATGATGTGGCTTTGTTATCCGTTGCACGTTAAAATCCCTCCTTGTCGTTTTAGTAAACCAAAACAACTGATATCTTTGTTGTTCTATGCTTTCTGCACTGTGATACTTGATTTAATTGTCTCACTCTAATTTCTATTTCTATTACATGAATCTTACTTATACAGCATTTGTATTAAGATTAATAGTGTACACTACAAAATATGCTTGCATTTCCAACTTCAAGTTTATTGCATGAAAGAATTTTTCGTTAACCTCTAATTTGATGGCAGAACATTTGGTTCAAATCAGTGAGTCATAACTCACCAATTATATGAAACAAAATACGAACAAGTCAGTTATCATTCATTCTTATTCTTTAAGTAATACCAAACTAATAAAAGCATCAAGGTTTTTCTGTTTATGTTTCATCGAGAAGTTATAGTTGTTCATCAAAGATGTATTGCACTTGACGTCCAATCAGTAGAAGCACCTACCTGGTAAGAAAGGTGCCAGTTTGCTGGGTTGTTATGAGCACTAAATTTATCAAACTAGCCATGGTCGCAGTTCATATGTTTCTACCAGTGTAACAGTATACATATATAAAACCTGTTGGTCAGGTTCGGGGATACAACCTTCTGCACATTGTTAGTTCTCTTCTTCCTTCATTACCGATGTGGTGTGAGCTACTTATTATAAGTAGTATACGACGTGAGTGTCAACGTAATGTCTGGCAGCCGAAGATGGGGGAAGATCAAGAAAGGAAGAGTTAGAAAACAATGGGATTTGTATGAAACGCATGAATAGTGACAATGGATTGATGTTTTGCAACAGGAACAGTCCAGTTCGATATGATGAACTGTTATTTTGCAAATGAACGATTTACGATATGGTTTTCCGCTTTTACTGAGTAACTCTGTAATTTTCGTTAAATACAATTCGGTTGCCCCACCTGTGTTTTCGTTCACTACACCGGTAGTAATAACGGTCTGCATTACTTATGATTTATCCTTGTCTGCTTTCAAATTTTGGATGAAGAACAATAAACAGTCAATCGATTATGTCTGTTCCAGTAGTTGTTGTTTTCCAAAAACAGATTATGATGACGCGGTAGACTCCATCTAATTACCGGTAAAATGCTACTTTGTTTATTTGACCAGTTAGTTTTAGACAACCTGTAAATTGACATAAATACATGCCTACTTGTTTATGTTGCTACATCATATCAACATAACTAAAGAAGAAATTAACAGGACAAGTGGATATGATTTCGGGTGCAATGCAAAGAAGAAATGTCGTTCTAAAGGATTAGATGATATTGAGGACTATGGAATGACATTAAGATGATTACTCCAGGGATCTCAGACAAGAAGTCTACACTTACTAATACTAACCATACCAAATTTCGACAACTCTTTAGACTTATATATATTTCAAATAATACCGCCCTAATATTTCACATTACATCACATAGATGCGACTTATTTCTGGTTGGCTTTTATAGATCAAGCCTATTAGATCATTATGAAGCGTTAGAATGTTTATATCATTTCAACGACTTATTGACTTATTTGTTAAGCTATAAACTACACTCAGTCTTTAAACTACTACCCTACATTACTTACTATAGTAAATAAAAATTCTTATGTTCTGGACACTGAGAACGTGGCTAAAGCTTTAATTCGCACTATACAATAACTCGTGATTGGATTGTTTCGAACCATAACATCATACTTGCAGTATTTTAGTTATTAATTTTCATTGAATAAAAAGTTAAGTCATACATTTGGAAGCTAATAATTTTTAAAGAATTATGAAAACTTATTCAAACTTCCAATTTTTTTCCTCAAATGTACATTCGTTGTTTGGATGTCAGTCAGATGCAACGTAGAACTTTGTACATAAGTACATCAGTTCATGTCGCCATACCACATCAGCACAGAGATATAATTGTCAATTCAAATCCAATAGTAGAAGAGGTAGTAAGGGAATTAAAAGTAATCGGAGAGGTTAGGATTAGAAGATACTATTCAAGAAGTATGATTCAGTGAGAAAAGTTTAGAGAGTCGAAACTAGAGGGGTTGAAGAATCCAGAAGATTAGCATTTGAGAGAACACAAAGAATAAATGCACCGGCGCCATTGCGAACGATTTTGAGCCATGTCATTCAAGGTCTCTAACCATCGATTATTATCATCTCGCGGACCCCAACCAGGTAGTCGACAATTACCGACATGGCTAAGTCCACTAGTCAATGACTTCATGGATTTCTGCCATGTTTTGGTCTGGCCGCCCCTAGCTTTCTTCCAACCTATTCCTACATTACAAAACAAGGCTCGACGAGGCAGTCGGTGGTTGGGCATACGCAACACATGTCCCAACCATCTCAACTGATGGAGTTTCAATACTTCATCGATTGATCTGCCATTCTTACCTAGCACCCGATTCCTAATAACAGCGTTGCTCACTCGGGTGTCCCACGATATACGAGCAATGCTTCGAAGACACCTATGATCGAAACCCAGTAACCTACGAATATCTTCTACTCTCACTGGCCATGTTTCACAGCCATAAAGTAAGACGGAGCGAACCACTGCGCAGTTTGGATGAATTGCTAGTGGTTATTCTGTGAATTAAATTTATGCAATATTTAGTTCACTGTATTTGACACTTTTTAAGCGTTTGCTTTAGCAAATTAATCTATGTACATTGTAATGTTATGCTAATTCTCATGATCTTTTTTTTTCCTTTCAATGTCAACTTGAATGTCGATGATTTTAACAGTGGAATAGTTAACAAAGTAAGTGTATGTTAAATATCAGTGATATTTAATTATGTATAAAACTTTGGTGTAATTTAATATTTTATGAAGTTTTGTGTATCCCTTTTATTTGTCAACATTTCTTCATCTCATTGACTTTACAATGTAAAAAAACTCACTTTTTGAAATACTTATAATTTATTTTTTTTCATTATGGGAACACACATGAAAGACAATTTATGCTTGATATAAATTATAAAACCCTCCATTATAAATAAACCTCAAGATATTCGGTTTAAAATATCGACTTTCATTTAACTTTTAAAAACTGACTACCTCTCATAATGAACTGAATATTCAGTTCTTTATTTCAGGGTTATGCAATCGATTTAATGAGGTGTATAAAACTTATCTGTTAAACAAAAGTTTGCATATTTCTGTTACCTGAAAATAACTCAAGGCACCAAGAAGTAAAACTGTTTGTTATTGGACTATGTTGCTTCTCTAAAACCACTCTCTATTACAATGATTTCAATGAAAATACACTGAGGAAATTAGACGTTAATTAATAACAACATATTTGAATGACAACCTTTGTTTACTCTCTCTGTTTTGGTTCCCAACAATCTCAATTCATTAAACACAGAACAAATTCAAGTTATATTACAGATATATTCAATTTGGTTTACTTTACTGTACTATGGAGTTAACTAACTCTTATACTCGTTTTTACTTCACTAACGTTTCTTTAAATAAATTTAATTCTCCAGTTATATTTCTCCTTTCTTAAGGCTAGACGACGACTACAAGCCGAAGAGGTGTTTGGTGTTTCATCAAATTCATTCGCAACAATTTCACAATCTTCAGTTTGTGATTCCATGCCCCCACCTAGTTCTGCTGTACATCGGCGTCCTCGCACCGCCCACAGTTCCACAGTTGTACCAAATAATCTATCTACTCTCCGTTCTTCTTGTCCGCTAAGCGCTAGTCAATCACCTACAACTAGACGACGTTTAACATCTGTCAGTTTAAACGCTGGTTCGTCTAACACACAAATTGGTTCAACACGTGCTAATATTTGTAGTGGATTACATACATCTAATACAATGTCAACCTCTCTCATTTTACCAAGTACTAACAATGCTGATAGGTAATTTTTCATTTTGTTTACAATGTTAATTACTGTTAGTCAGGTTTTCTTTACGATAAAGATTGCACGGACTCGTTTTTACTTATTTGCGCATCGCACTTTGAATGCTTTATTTGTTCAGAATATATTCATAGTTTTTACAATCATATTTACTTACTGGTTTGCGATTGCTGTAAATTTCAAATTATTTTTTCAAAACAAGCTTAAGTGATACATTCACAATTTTGATACATTTGCATTTTTAATTTATTAATTATTATTATTATTTATAGCATGTTAAATGAGACTACTGATCCATCCAATAACAAAATGAATTCAATTGGTTCTTCCAATAATCTCTTATCATCTAACAATACAGCTGATGATGTATTCAATCGCTTAACTAGTGGAATGTCAAATTCACCAAATCCTAGCAGGTGATTATTATTATTTTTTTAACTATTCATTATTTAATAATATTAATGATCATCAACTGTTGTTTACACATTTATGTCCATCGATTTTCTCACTTTTGTTATTGTAACTTACTCTGCGTACATTGAATAGTATGTGTGATAGTGATTTCATTCAGTTGTGATTTCAATAACTATATTCAATTCGTCCAGTCTCATTGACTCATAAATAATAAATCACTGACTGTCGATTGTCACATGTTAATGATATTTTCGAACTTGTCCTGAATAATTGTGTTTCCCAATCATTAATTCTTTTTCTGGATAATTTATAAGATACGGAATTCTGAACAATTATTTACATAAATGTCTCTATCAAAACATTTAGAGTTTAGTAACAAGTTAGTTAGTTAGTTAGTTAGTCAATGAGCGTCACATTCACGGACTTCTAAACATATTTTAAGTAATCAAAACAGAATGAGAACAAATTTGTTGATAAAAAAAATTGAGAACATTTTGATGAATGATAAAATGAAAATGTATCTTAAATTTTGTAAAATTATTTTTGTTTTAATGATCACAGTCCCCACATTCTGTGTATAGACTGCTGTTAAAATCTAATATTGTATTTTTTTGTGTAACTGTTAAACGAAGTCGAATTGGTTTATTCATAGGTAACAAAAGTTTATGTCTCACTGTGTGCATGTTTATCCATAATTTTTCTTTTAATTATAACATGAATAATTTCAATTTGCCTCAAACTTTTTATGTCATTATCACAAAATATTGCAGATAGATTACAAAATTGTCAATAAAAAAGGTAAACAAGCTAATTATAACAATTCATGTGTGTTACTTCGACTAAATGCACCAGATTCTGTACTGTTTAACTAACGTTTCTAACACTATTCAACTATTAGATCCTAATTATTTTTTTAATATTTACAATAATAAGTATGTGTAAATCTGAATACAATATAGAGGAGTATAGTAACTATTAGTTTCAAGCAAACATTATATGTTTTCCAATATTATACAGAAATTTCTATGCAACTATGCGATATTTACCGAAGCTTACATAATCAATCTGTAATAAGTAGTCATAAAGAAGAACGGATCTAGCTCCCTTAACAGATCATAATCTTTTGTGGTTTTATTGTATCTTCGATTTTATCAATTGTTGTTCTCGTTCATTTGTTTATCTTGTTTTACAACCTTTCTCTCTTCTGTTTCTTCATGATATTACCATTTTACTTATGTGGCGTATTTTTCTGTCAAAACTACTATATGACAAATAAGTAAACAAGTATTTTGAAAGATTTTTCGAATGCTTATTAGTATCCAAGTGTGAATATGACTTTAATCAACTGATACCATTTATCTTTTTTGCTTATGGTTATTAGAGCTGTTTGTTTCATTTTCGATTTATATCTCTCTCATCAAAATGTTTTGCTCTAAACCCCATTTGCTTAATAACACTTCATGAGAAAAAATGTACGTTTGCGTAAACCCTATTCAATTATATGAATCTCTACATAAAATTAACTCTATTGCTCAAACAATAGAAATGGCTTTGTTTGTGTGCCTTTGAACTGACATCATAATTATTTCTTCTACTGGTAATAAAAACTTTTTTTGACTTTTCAGAGGTTCTATACAACCCTTGTCTAAGATGAATCTTTCAAGTTTGATGTCCAACGGTACGAACATGAATTCAATATTGGGTTCGGCTGCAACTAATCAATCTTTTCATTCAGCATCTTCAGCTGGTCACTGTTCGAGTACTTCAAATATTCCAATCAATAATTTATCTACACAGTCATCAAATCAACCTTTGGCTGCATTTTTCACCTCATGTTCTACTGCTCAAACAATGCATACATCGAATGGCCCTTGTCATATTTCTTCGAATATGAATACTACAGGTTCATCTATAGTTCATCAGTCTGTTAGTTTCGCTCCACCAATTGAATGTACTCATATAGCTAAAGGTCATTCAAACGCTGTTCTTGATATTGACATAGTTCATGGAGCTATGATAACTGGAAGTAAAGGTATTATACTTCCCATTCTTTCATATTTCTTCCATAAAAAACTATCTATTCATTAATTATTCAGATTTACTAATGTATATATATATATATATATCATTTTGGGACCTGGAGCCTATGTTGTCGCAGTACATCATCACACGAAGACGAAATCGACAAATTGGATAGAGTTGGAGCCTAAGTAATAACAGTAAGGACTTGACTTTGAAAATAAAGATTGTGTTAGAAATTGTTCAAAGTTCAAGTGTTAATGCATATTGGTCATTGCATCTGATCCTGAGCCATATCACTTAGTGTTCCCGAACACTGGTTGTATTTATCGCACGAACCCCAAAGAAATTTTCTCCACCAAGTACATGGCTTAGTCCAACAGTTAGTGACATTATGGAGTGATCCCATGCCTTGATTCAGTCCTTCACAGTAGGGACTTTCCTTCATAATGTTATTTTTGAGTATCAGAATATTGTTTACATTTCTCATACCGTGCTAAATCTACGTCAGAAAAAGATGAAGGTGATGAGGAACTCTGAAGATTAGGATTTGAAAAACACAAAGAATGAATGCAGCTGTGTCATTGCAAACGGTTTTGAGACATGTCATTCAGGGTCTCTAACCATCGATTTCTAACATCTCGCGGACCCCAACCAGGTAGCCTACATCTAACAACATGAGTCAGTCCACTTGTCAGTGACTTCATGGATTTCTGCAATGTTTTGGTCTGGCTGACCCTAGCTTTCTTCCAACCTACTCCTAATCCGCGAAGCAATGCTCGACGAGGCAGTCGGTGGTTAGCCATACGTAACGCATGTCCCAACCATCTCAACTGATGGAGTTTCAATACTTTATCAATTAATCTGCCATTCTTACCTAATACTCGTTTCTTAATGGCAGCATTGCTTACTCGGTTGTCCCACGATACTTGAATAATGCTTCCAAGACATCAATGATCAAATACTAGTAACCTACGAATATCTTCTACTCTGACTGGCCATATTTCGCATCCATATAAGAGAACGGAGCGAACTGCTGCGCAGCACACCCGTCCTTTAGTCGGCAAACGGATAAGTGACGCAAGTTGGCATAAGTCAATCGAGCCTTCTGTACCCGTGCTGAGATATCGTCAGTCAGCAGGCCATTGACACTGATGAGACTCCCAAGATAAGTGAGGTGGTCAACATACCCGACTACTTCACTTCATATCACTAGTTCAGGTGACGACGCGACCTAATCTAGAAGCAACATTTTGCATTCCGAGGGTGAGAACCGCATCCCGAAGATGCTTGCATTGTTTCTTAGGGTAGTCAGAAGATTCTAAATAATGATATAAGACACTTTAGAAATCAGCTTATGATAGCTTGATTTTAAACAATAACCCTGAAATTATTTATCTCATTTTGTTTAGCCAATTTGATTTTTCAGTCCTATTACTAATCATGATAAGGGCATAGACTTGAAATTATCCTTATAAAAAATTTACTTCATTTCAATATGTTTTCGTCTGTTTTACTATTCAACATATAACTTCATTATAATTTAACTCTTTTTTCTTTCTCTTCTTCTTCTTCTTCGTTAGATCGTACTGCAAAAATTTGGGATTTAAATACTATGGAAGAAGTAGACACATTACATGATCATCCGAATAATGTGACCAAAGTTAGAATATGTCCATCATCAAATTTAATTTTCACTGTTTGTTCTTACTTTATCAAAGTTTGGGATCATCGAAATCCACGTAAATGTATTCGTACCTTGTTGTAAGTTGTTGGCAATAACACATCTCTTCTTTCATTTTAAAAATAATGTTTTAATGAATATAGTTTAAGAATTTTATTTATTAATTTATATATTGATATACTTGAATTAAAATATTTATTATCTAGCAATGAAATATTAAAAATTAATATCGTCAAATTAATAAAATTATATTCAATAAAATGGTAATAATATAGTTGTTTTAATGCAACATATAAATATTTTGTGTTGGGGATGTTAGATCCCCATAACTCACTTGATAAAGGTCCTAATTTTGTATTTTATTCATGGGCTGAAATTATACTTCCCACCCAGAAAGTCCTTGTCTGTCATTGGTTGATGTGTTATTTTTGTGGCTCTTCCGAGGCCGTTTCTACGGTGAATAAATAAACTCGATTTGTGTGCTTGAGGACCTCATATTTTCTTAGTGCTTGTAGAATACGCTTTCTACTCCATATCAAGACTTTTGATACCGTTAGCAGTGTCTTGTTACGCTCGGATTAGAGTAGCCTATCGTGTCACTGCATCGTTTGTCTCGCTCTCGTTTACTGACACAGGTGATCAAACTACAGTAAGAATAAATTTAACCTCTTTGTTATACTTATTTTTCCCCAATTTCACCTTGTCAACCTGTTACAGTCGATATTGATCATGACTCTTGTAATTTTAGAGTAGTCTAAACCAAAATTTATGGTGAAATGAGAGTTTTTTTTTCTTGCATTATGATTTTAAATATTTATGAATAACTGGTAGGTTTTATTCAAGTTCATCCAAATAATTCGCACTACACTTCATTCAATATTATAATTCGATGGAGAATAGAATTCGTATTCACATCGATGTAAATGTCACTTTATCAGCAAACAAACAAATTGATATAGTTTTGTTGCATTAGTGTTATCTTCCAAATTATATATATATATATATATATATATATATATATATATATATATATCATTACATTATTTCTTACTGACTACTCTGTAAGTGCATTTCACAATTTAGTTTGTATGTGTACTTAGCCAAATTTTTTATTTTAAAAAAAGACAAAACGAAAGCTTATTTTAATAAAATAAAACTGAAATGTTTCTATAAACTGTAAAGATAAAGTCATTTCGAATTCAATCTCTTACAAAACAAAATAGTAGTAACTTATTTTGAGTTATTCTCATTTTTGTTCATCCTTCCATGTTCGTTAAGTATGTGCAATTTAGTACAATGCAGTAATGTCTTAAATTACTGAATAAGTTTTGTGTTTGGTTTAGCTAGTCGTAATGTAATGCTTATCAAATGAAAGCGTATTGGTTTTTTTTTGTTGAATATTTTTTCTGACATTCAATATTTAATCGTTTGTGTTGTTTTTCTATTAGTATTAATGTAAAATTAACCACCATCCTTTTAGTAGTGCTTAATCTGGACGTATTATTTCATCTTTTGGAACAAAATTACATTATTTCTGTGTTAGTACCGCCATTATTTCTCTGTCTATTCATGTTGTTGTTCATGATTTTTTTTTCCGCGTGAATGATTTAGTTATTTATCAATTAATGTGCTTTAAACATCACAGTTGTTATATCATTCCTGGTTATGAAGAAGTATATAACAATGGGTTTTTTTTTGAAAAAAAAAACACCTGATATATTTCGTTGTCTGTTTATGTAATTTAAAACAAATAAATCATAATGAACTGAACACTGAAATAATAAATGAATCATTAAAAAAACTGCATATTCAGTTATTTATACAACAGTTGGATTCACATCTGTTGAATAATGATTGCGAACAAAATTATGCTGACTATTGATAAAAGATAAAAGCGAGTTTTACTTTCTGTATAAGAATGTTGTATGATTAAATATTTCGAAATATGTAGTTGTCTAAATACTTATCTTTCAGATATTGGGTCAGCACTTCACGTTATTCAACCTAGACAATAGTATCTCCAATTCATACTCATTTGTGTCTTTCAGAGTTGAACATGTGAACTAGATTTTAATTAATAAGTTTTGTCTTTTTATTTAAGCATGACTATAGTTTATTTTGTTGAAAACTAATTATTATCAACTGTTTATCTATGGTAAATATTATATTTTTTGTTTGTATTAAAGATCAAGTGGCCTTAGTCAAGAAGGTTCTTTAGAAACAAAAATTATGCGTCGTCAAAACATTTGTCCACCTGGTGAAACAAACATCATGGACATTGCTCTTGGCGGATCTAATCCAGCATTAAGTCATATGATGTTCTCAGCTACTGCAAATTCAGTGAAATTGTGGGATTTAAGACGATTTTGTTCTATAGGCAAACTACATGGTAGTCACCAAGCACCAGTAATGGTATTGGCCGCTTCCCAAACTCCATGTACTTTTCCAGCCACTGACTCAGAATCTAGGCTAACTGTAGTTACTGGTTCAAAAGTGAGTTATATGATTTTGTCTTTTGAAATCATTACATGTGGAATTTTTATTTGATGCTACTTATTTATCAGATTATAAGAGAATATTATACTCCAAACTTCACATCACAATATCACATGAATGAAACATTTATACAAATGTTAAAACATAACACCAACAAAAAACACCTATATGGTGATAAAATTTTAAAGATTATGCAATCCATTTAACACATCTGAGCCAATTCGATCACATGCATTCCCGTCGTTCCCCAAGATCTCAGATCGCTATTCCCTGGTTCATAAGAAACAGTCTTGACTAGTTGAACCAGCTCCGGACAAATTATAAATCAGCTAGTCCGTTATTTGATTTTCGACAGCGTAATCCTATCCCGACTAGTTCTGAATTTCAATGTCAACTATGAGTATAAATAAAAATACTTCAATTGACTGAAATTCACTTGGCTTTTTTACCCAGAACTTTGCTACTGATCTCAACCCCGATTACTTAGTGGTCGATTTATAACCTATGTTTGTTTTACCCACTCTCCTATGCAACAGCCTATATTTTATAATCGTTATATTACCCGACAGTGTAATGTATTCTGTCGATATTACAACTGAAATAGATGAACGATTCCCAAACAAATTATTTGAATTCTTGTCAAAGCTTTCTTCTTAACTGGTGTACAAACATAAACCCAACTCCTCAATTCACTTAGTATTCTTAAATTTTGGTAAAACAATTTTAGGAGGTTCAGTTAATCGTCAGCAAACAAGTGTTTCTTCGTTCTTCCTGGCATTCATAACTGTTATGATTAAATGCTGACCGTTTGATTTTCTTCATTTTAGGATCACTACATAAAAGTTTTTGATGTTTCTCCAAATACATCTGGTTTACTCACACCTGCCCTTGATTTGGAACCACCACATTACGATGGAATTGAATCTCTGGTCATCCATGGGAATATTTTATTTTCAGGTTCAAGAGATGCTGCAATTAAAAAGTGGAATTTAGCGAAAAATGGTCGCCAGGAAGTGTTACTAGCACAAGCTCACAAAGATTGGATACAGGTAAGTGTTTTTTCACATTATTTCCACGTGACTCTTGATTTTGCTTAACTGACTCTACTTATACATGTAAAGTAATTTAAACAACCTGTATTAATACTTGTTCAGCCTACATTCAATGTAGTTTTCCGATTGTTAGTTAGATCATACTGGTCTCTATGGGGTAACATATAATGTTTGAATTTGTTTCTTTCAACTGATTTGTTAGTTTTGATTTCCCTTTTCTTCAGGGTATGGCTATCACTCATGATGAGACAAGCCTTATTAGTGGTTGTCGTGGCGGTACGCTTAAGCTTTGGAAAGTGGAAGATTGTACTTGCTTAGGAGAGATTAACAATGCACACGATGGTGCTATAAATTGCGTGAGAACATATGAAAATCGTGTATTTACGGCTGGCAGGTAAGTTTTTCGTTTACTTTTAATGAATCAATGTCCTTTTCCACTTTTCACGTGTACCGATGTTAATTTCAACGTGTTTACTTTTTTTTTATTTTAGTGATAGAGATATACGATTTTGGAAATTTACCAATTAACTTGGTCGTATTTATTCAAGTGTGCTAATAATAAAATGTGCAAAACACCAGAAATTAAATTTCAATCAGCATAACACTTGTTATTCGCTTGCTTGATTACATAATCATTTTCTGTGATATCGATCTTAGCCAAGAATTTTCTTCCTTTTAAATCTCCATTGCTAATATTTGGAATTGTGAAAAAAGATTGATCACTAAACGCTTCATATATATGTATACATAAAAATCCCATTATCAATTATGAATCATTTCCAGTATCAACACACATATATCTGTAAAAATTTATGTAAATAATTGTTTTCGTGAATCCGCATTCCATTAATCAATTAGTTATTTAATTGAGTGAAAAAACAGATACCAAGGCATTTAATTGAGAAGTTATTCCTAAAACAATTAAATTATTATTATTATTGTTATTATCATTTTATTGCTTCGTTTCCTCACAAGACAATCATATCCTATCCAATCATATTATTATTATTATTATGACCATTCTGTGCATGTTTGAATCATATTTACTTTGCCTTTTGAATTCGAACTGAACATGAAGCAGATAATTATGTGTTCTACTTCCAATATATATATATATATATATATATATATATATATATATATATATATATATATATACAAAAAATATGCTTATCTTTATATTTTTCAACAATAGGTCTGTGTAATTCCCTCTATCGTCTGACATTTAATGTTTTCACAACTATCACCATTGGCCGTAGATAGATACACTTTGTGTATTTGTAATTTTCATCCACTTACTTGTCGTACTCTTTAAGTTTGTTTGCCATCAGTATCAAATATAAATATTTGTTTTTATGTTGAACTGAACTGATTTATTTTACTTCCCTTATGTGGTCTATTGACGCTCTATTTTTAATATATATATATTTATATATATATCCTCATCTTATCTGATATAACATGTCATCAGTGATTTTATTGTTGTCTTTTTGTTTATCGCATGAGATATCTTTCAATACACACTATCTCAAGTTTTATTTATAATGTTATTTCTTCTCAAAGAGAATTTTTGGGAGGTATCTTGAAAATCACGTTTTTGCGTCACTGCCGGTCATTCAGATGTTTAGATGTAACGTTCGAAAAATGACGTTGTTGTTTGTTGTACTACTTAATAATAATAAGTAATATAAGCAAACTACAAAGAAATACTTATGTTGAAGTTACCAAATTGTGTTGTGACAATCAGTTCCAGTCATCCGAGGCCACTTTAGTAAATAGAATTTTCTTCATGTCGGTTAACTGAAAATTAATCGAAATCACTCGTCACTTGTTTAGTCAGACAGGTGTTTAAAGACGTTTATAAGCATTTTTATCTTGCAAGTGATGCTGGTAAATAGTGTACCTGTAGTCAACTACCGTCCTATATCTATGGTTTCCTGTCTGGTCAGAAAATTTTTAGCCTAGATTATTTCACATTTACATCCACCTATGTCCCCGACCGTAGCTGCTACCCTGACGTGGTGGTCGTGCTTGCCTATCGTGATGATCCAAACGAGCTATATTAACTGGAACTGTAGGTTCTGCCATCCTAAAAAAGTCGATTGAAGAACGATGAGACTAAAAGCAGCTACTGAATTTCTGAGGGCTAAATTGTTCTGCTGACTGTAAAGACTTGTTTGTGACAACATTTAAGTGTTTTCCTCTGACAACCAGCATCTGCAGCAATGCTGCTTTATCAGAAGAAAGGAAGGTTTTAGAAAAGGTTGACCCTGAAATATCGCACCTCACCTTGTTTCACAGATTCCCGTTTTCGGCAGTAAGGCCTTTTAAACAAGAGCGGAGCTAACAGTTGAAAAACTTTCATCAAAAGACGGCGCGCGACTGCCACCATGCATTTGTTCCTTGAGCTCTGCGGTCACGTTCCCAGGTCTCGCAGACCAACACTAATCTGACTTCTTTTTCAGGATACTTAAGAAATACTCTTCCACGGTGTGGGCAGCCGGAAAGTGACATACGCTTTCATACTCGTAGAAACATATGAGATCAAATCCTCCCTACACCTAATAACTCCTGGTTTCCTGAAACCACGCTCCAAATTACATGTTGAAGCTTTTAATGCCTGGACCTTGTGCCAAATAGGATAACAGGCTTCATTAGTTAGGACTTTAGAATTTCACTCAATCGATGTACGCTGAGTCCCGGAGCCACTCATACAGGATCTGAGTAGCGTCATTCACTTGACCTCTCCATATCAAAATGAGAAGCAACCCGATTTACTCTTCATGTATCTGGAAGCCCTGATGCTGCTTCCAGGGGTCTAGCGGGTGTAGGTGTAGCATTGTGTCGTAGGGCAGAACTAGTTCTCCTAGACTGGATCCCAGTAGATAGTCGCCTGTGCGTTGTCCGACTAACAAGACAGTAAGGACTCGTAAAGATGGGGACACTGGCCGTTGCCTCTTCGTCGTATCTGCCTACGCTCCCACTGACTGCAGTTCAGGCGAGGTGAAAGATGAGTTCTACAGAAAGCTTTCGGACCTCCTCCAAAACGTTAAGCACTCTGATATATTAATAATGGCTGGTGACTTCAATGCTCATGTAGGTAGACTTAGTGAAAAGAAAAGACACCTGGATGGGTCTTATGGTGTTGCGGCTCGGAGAACAGATAATGGCCACCGTCTATTGCAACTGTGTTCAGATAACTGCCTATTTCTAGAAAACACTAACTTTAAGCATAAGGAAAAACATCTTTTGACCTGGCGACCCCCAAATTCGTCTCAACGTTGGACGCAACTAGATCATATCGCCATCAGCCACCGATAGAGGGGTTCGGTAGAGGACTGTCGCTCGTTCTGGGGCACATGTTTAGATTTAGATCATGCTCTAGTGCGAAATCGTATTTGTTTGAGGCTTACTGGACGTAGGAAAGACACCGCTAGGAAACCTCTTAGGGTTCTATTTAATGATAATATAGACTCGTGAGAAGACTGTCGCTCGTTCTGGGGCACATGTTTAGATTCAAATCATACTGTAGTGCCAGCGCATATTCGTTTGAGGCTTACTTACAGCAAGGAAACTAAGGATCTATTTAATGATAGCATAGCTAAGAATATATTTCAGTATCAACTAGAAATCAGGCGGCCATCTAAGTAATTCCTAACCTGAGGCAGCTTGAAACGATATCGAAAATGCTATGGAAACACCAGTGACATGTGCTAGTAAGGTAAACCATACGGTTATGGAAAAACAGTAGTTTTCAGTAGCATATACCGAACTGATAGATGCTCGGAGACTGGTTCATCTGGCTCTGAACATGACGAACAGCGGAGTCAGCTAAAGCGCAGTCTGACGAAAAGTCTTCACAGTGATCACGAATAGTAGTGGGTAGTGAACGCAAAGCGAAGGAAAATGCAGCGATGATAAGTAACAGTAGACAACCATCCAAACTTATTAAAGAAACTGGTACTAGAAATCTAACTCTTAACTAAAATGTCGGAAAAGGTGGGACATTTTTTCATTCTCAGTCAGGGAGATTGGATCAATGGGCAGAACACTTTAGGGATCAGTTCAACTGGCCTTCGGCGACACTTCGGTTGCCCACAAGCTAGGGTCAGCCACACGAAAACATGGCAGAAATCCATGAAGTCACTGACAAGTGGATTGAGTGATGTTGGTAGGTGTAGACTACGTGTTTGGGGTCCGCGAGACGAAAGTAAGCGATGGTTAGAGACTTTGAAAGACATGTAGGAACATTGTTTGTTTTCTCCCAAATTCTTACCTGAATTCTTTATGACTTTCGCCAGTTGCTCAAATTTATTGCACTAGTTGTACTCCTTGAATAATATCTTCGGATAGTGATCTTTCCGATTACTGCTCATACTTCTACTACCTTCACCACTATTGGATTGAAATTTCTTCCGTTTGCTAATGTGGTATGGTGACCTAGACTGATGAACGTACATGCGAAGTTCTACATTCTCGCTGACTGACTGACTACTTATTTCACTAATGACATTACATGGCTTGAATAGTAGTTTTCCAATTTTTATTTACCGCATACTGATCATGCTAATAAATAATGTTTCTCCTAAATTACTACTAGTCAAATTGAACTCCCCTTATTTGTATACCATGTGGCCGCTGATGTAAAAGTTCCTGAGAAACCAAAAAATTTCGTAATCTTGACTTTTCGCCTCATTATTTGTAAAATAAGGTTACATTTATTTTTTGAAGAACTGGGATAACTAGTCATCGAAAATAGGTTACTAAGACTGCTCTTAGACATGAAATAAAACCTTGAAAGTTAGTCGAATTATTGGTCCAATCTACCTTTCATCCTTAAGTGTAACCGGACAACTAGAATCTTAAGTTAGCATCTGTTGCAATCCTAACTAGTTTGTAATCTCAACTTGATTTAGTGAGGTGCTTCTAGTGATTCTCGCACTGATTTATTCTCCTAATAATCTCTACATTAATATCATTAGCCATTTCTAGTCCCATGATCAGTTTTCCTGAAAACTTATCACATTTTAATTGGTTGATAACATCTAGATTTTTGTTTTTGTTTAGCCGTATTTTATTTTTATTATTAGTACTACTTAGTAAGCCATATCCCTGTTAACTTTTAGGAACCGTAGTATGTTTCATATAAGTAGTTCAAAAGAGTTTGAAGTTGCTGTTGTTTTATCGTACTGATGTTTTTAACCACAGAAGTCTCGTTAATATTCCCTATAATCAGAAGCTGAATGATATTAGCATTATATATTGTCACAAATACATAGGATAATTGCCTATTTGATTTTGTTTATCACTGTAGATCTATGAGTTCTAATTACAGCTTTAGAAGTACAATATAACAGTATAACAGGTCATTCGCAAATAATTGGTAATGTAAACAATCTATCTCTGTCTTTAGGCAAGTGCTAACAATAAACTCATTGACTTTTCGAACCAACAGCAGTCTATTCATTCACTTAAGTGACATTCTTTTGTAATCATCTCTTTTCAAAATTTCCCTGCCTAAATGCTAATTCGTTGACTACTGTCGTTTTGCTTGTGAGACTCATATATTCCACAAAATTCAATGACTTTCACTATAACCATTTCTAATATTCCTTGCAGTAAATGAGTAAAACATAGATAGGTGATTGTAACTGAAACTAATCATTCCGAAACCTTTTTCATTTCTGAGACACGACTAATCAATTCAACATATCAGTTACTTTTACACTCTATAATAACTGCCTACATAACAGCTAAACTATTGAAAGACTTTTAGTTTTTCTCATTAAACTGAAAAATATATTACTTGATAATTCTAAATAATAAATATTTATAAAACTTAAGAATAGAATTTCATTTTAATTTCAAATTCTCATAGCGTGCAATATTTTCT